TTCAAAATGTTTAAAAATAAACTACCAAAATTAATTTAAAGTGAAAATTAAAATATAGTTTTATCTGCAACTGTATTTCATAATGTTTTGAACTTTTAAAATATTGCATGGTAAAAACTGAGGCTGTACTTCATATTAGTGACAAACAATAAGTAACAGCTTTTTGACAAGTTTAAATTTTCTTCAACATACGTTCAAAATGTTTAAAAATAAACTACCAAAATTAATTTAAAGTGAAAATTAAAATATAGTTTTATCTGCAACTGTATTTCATAATGTTTTGAACTTTTAAAATATTGCATAGTAAAACCAGAAGCTGCTCTTCATATTAGTGACAAACCTTGGCATTTTTTGATGGGTTACCTTCATTTTTGCTTCTACTTTTAGTTTAAAATAGGTTTCCATTCTTGGCAGGTTTCTAAGGTTCTTCTACATATTATTTTTATATTTTTATTTTTTTATTTATTTTACTATTTTACCATTTAAAAAAGTTGTTAAACATCCGAGTGGTGCACTACCGCTACTAGTGGTGAGAAAGTGTATTGCACCTTATTCAAAATAAATGTGGTCCCACGGCCCTCTGCGGCCCAAAGTTAAAAACTGTTGTTCTTTTGAGGCCCTCAGGCCGCGGCCCATGGGTTAAGAATCTCTACTTTACAACATCCTCATACTGCCAAGCTCCTACTGTTTCCTGTCAAAACGTTTGGCAGTTGTTTGGTGTGTAGATCTTTGTGTTTTGTTTTATCGTATCTTCAGGGCTTTGATGAGCTTCTTTTCCCCCTACTTATTTATTTTTTGGGGTCATGTGGGGCACAGATAATTTTTGTTCTCCAAAGTGAGTTATATTAAATTGGTATCAGGTTAAATTGATACCAGCAGGTCAGAGAGCTCCAGTAATCATAAAATGGCTAAAAACCAAGTTTGTTCCATCTAGTAAAACTTATTTCCATCACTGAACATTTCTGTATAAAAAGTTTGCATGTTCTTGTCTAAACATATATTTTCTCCATTTGGCCACAAGTCTGTATTTCTTTGTTTATGGAGCTCATTGTTTAGTTTTATCTGGCATCAGTCATTTAATCTAAGTTCACTCAACATGAGATATTTAAGTGTTTTATCTTATTATACTGGTTTAAATAAGCTGTAAAGTCTATCTGTGGTTCAGTTCTAGATTTTAGTTTAGCAGAGTTAAAAAAAATGTTTTTTTTCCACATGTAAAGTTTCTGGTTTTGCTTTAAACCTGGTGAGATGTTCTCCTGCTGTGTGAAAACAGAGGAACGGGGCCCAATGTTAGAAACCAAACCCAGTATTTTTCCACTACACTGGAAGGAGGCCCGTCCAGACATCTGGTGTCTGTGGGATTCTGCTGAATGAGCAGAGCAGAAATACTAACATATCATTTTAATGGTTTGTGGAGATTTACTCAGCCTCCCTGGCGCAAGATTCCTGTTATTTATTTCAATTTTATTCTTTCTAGAACCAAAACATTTGATCTAAAGCTTAAACAACTTAATTATCCCTGTTTGGCTTTTTCAAACTGGAATTAAAACTTTATCTGAACTTGATGCTACTTCCCTTTCAACACCGACTCTCACAGATGTCAGAATAAGTCATTGAAATACACAGATCATGACAGTTGACCTTTGTTCTTGTGTAGTTTTAAGTGTAACAGTGTCCTCAACTATTAAAGGCATTTTGTTGAGAAAACTGAATGGACTGAAAATTTATTCAATTCAAAAAATGTATTAATTTCAGTGCAAAACAAAATAAACATAATAGAAAACAAAGAAAATACACAAATCAAAATAAAATGAAAGGTAGTAGCAGAAGAAAAATAAATGTCTACCGCTTTTATCCCCAGAATATATTCAAACAAAACATAATTTACAAAAATATAACCCCAAACTGAATGTAAAGATATCCACGCATCACTGGAGAAACTAAATCCAACTTTTCTGCACTCATAAAGACTCCAAGTACACAACAAAATGTATTTAATTGGTAAAAAGGGGGATTTTGCATGATATGTCCTATTTTATTACCTATAAAAATGGTTAAAAAACTGTTTAATTGATCTCATCAATTGGTCAATATTTAACCCAGGGTTGGGCGATATTGGCAAAAAAATTAATCCTGATTAATTTTGGTATTTAGCCGATAACGATAAACATGACGAATAATCTCCTGGAGTCCCTGCACACCTGCATGTCCTGGTCASATGACCAGTTTAAATCACTCTAGTGGGAAAGATTTGTTCCCCATAAAAATCTGTTCCAAATTGTGTCAGAAGTACAGACTTCAGGCTTTGCATCAATTTTTAAACTGAGTTGATAGACCAAGTAAAACTTTATGATAAATAAATTACAGAACTCTTTTAAAATGTTGGTTATATTGTAGCACCGAGCGGACTGACCGGGAAATCTCCAGTCAGTCTGCCTGGCGGCATTAATCGTATTAATCGTCAAGTGCCAAAAAATAATCCATTTAAAGTTTTTCTGATGGTTAATTGTACACGATGTGAATTTGCCCAACCCTAGCTTGAGCTTAAACAGACATTAGTGCAGAATGCAGTCCAGATCAGTGAACAGAACCAGACCTCTGAGTAAGTCCAGACCATGTTTCTCTCTTACAGAAAATCGATGCGCAGGCGATCGAGGAGTTCTACGGTCTGACGTCAGACATTTCCAAGAACTCGGAGTCAGGATACATCTTGTTCTACCAGTCGAGAGACTGAAGCAGCCAGCGATGAATCCCCAATAGACTGTCCACCCAACAGAGTGGGGAGGGGGGGAGCCACCGGCTGAGTCCACTACGTCCAGGCTTTATACCTCGTAGGTGGAGATTCGCGCCGGAGCGCCATTCAGCCGAGTATAGTAGGACATGCGCAGGTTGCATGTCAGCCTCCTGGTTTTCCAAATCCTCCAAAGTCCACACTGCAACAAGCACCTTAATGTAGAAAACTGATCCGTTCTGTAACACTTGCTTTGCACTGTGGCATCATTAACTCCGGTCCAAGAGGCTGACATCACCGTGCGCATGGTGTTGAAGGTAGAGTCCGGTTGGGACAGTCAGCAGTGAAAGCTGAGGCACGTAGTCAGCTTGTGTCGGAAGATCTCAGTGTCATGGGTGCAACTGGTGTCTTCTTTAGCATTTTCTTCACTCATACCAAACTAAATTAAATGTTTCCTGCAAGGGGCTACAGCAATGGTCAAATGTTTTTTTTTTTTGTTGTTGCTATGATCCATTTATGTATTCACCTTCTAAAAATTCCTTGAGATTGAAGAAACTGGAGCTGGCCAGTGTACCAGTTCATAATGAAAACCGTTTTTTATTTTTCATTTTTGCTATTAGATTTTTTTGTATTTCCACAAACCAGTTTAGCCTGAGCAACAATAAACTGTTTCACAAGGAACTTCATTAGAATTGGAATTGTAGGTAGGGCTTTGGAAGAGGGCGTTGATACTTTAGCCCCTCCCACTGCTGATAATAGTTAAACAACTTATGGCGAGGGAGGGGAGATCATAACAGCTACTGAAGCTGTAAAATCTCTATCCACCTCCTCTAGCCAGGCCTGGTGCAATTTATTCTCCGTGTCTTCCTCTGGCTTCATAAAATTGCAGTCCATACTCTGTGCTAGATCTGAAGCAAAATTTTGCCAAGACCTGACGTCTGCCCCAACGCTAATTCTGATTGGCTAGTGGGCCTGTAGCAAAAGCTGCACCACATCTAGAGGAATGTTGGTTAAATTTCAGCAAACCCCAAAATTGGCACGGTTATGCATAAGTGAGGCATAGCAAAACTGAAAAGGAGCGTCACAAAGTACTTCGGCTTTAAAAGCTCGGTGCTAAAAAAAACGATGGTATTTTGCTAACTCTGTGCAGTTAAAGTTGTCGCTGCAGACAGGAACACGAACAAGTGGCTCCACTTCAGCCACAAACATGTATTGAAATACCAAGACTGTTTAGAATTCWAATAGGCAACCTCCACATCTAAAACCAGAACTCCAGGAGGAACCATGAGTCAAATGTCCACTGCATTTGATAGAGAGTTTCCCTACGATAACACAAGCAGAGGGTAAAATAACAAAAATCACTTTTCGTAAAGCTTCTGAGCCACTTAACTGCAATRTTTTCCCTCTCAGTCAGAAACACACAGGTATGCATGAAAAGAAAAATACTGTCAAATATTGTGATACTGGTATAATTTTTAAAAATACCATTATACATTTTTGATCATAGCACTAGAAGAAACTTTAGCAGCACCTTTAACCACAGAACCACTGATGTCACCTGAAAGGTTTGAATGTGAACACCGAGGCGTGAAATAAGGCAGTTTGTTGGGTGTTTACTCTTTGGGTTAGCGTTGGTAATACATATTAAAATCAACATAAARTGAAGTGCAGAGGGCCGTTACTGAATCTGATAAGCTGAGTTTCAAACTGATGAATACCACTCAGTATTTATAATAAAATAAAATAATTTATCTTCTTTAGATTAAATATTTTTAAAAAGTGAAGGAAACTGACCAAAAAGTACAGTTTGTAGTATTTATAAGTGAACCTGTCAGGGTTTTTATCAGGTGGTTTTAGTGATTTTCTGTTTGCATTGTTTTAAGATTGTGTTTGATCACCAAAAATAACTGAATTTTTTTGAATGACTTACTTTTATTAGTTGTTTATACAAACGGGGAAGGACAAGCTTTAGAACAAGAACCTACAAAATGTTTTTAAAAAATGTTGTGCCGTTAAGAGCTATGTTTGGTACCAGAGTACGAAAAACTTAAGAAAAATTAATGAAGAGCAAGTTAGACAACAGCATAAGTTATTTTCTTTTTTTTTTATTCAGGCTTCTCATGGCTTTGACCTCAAATCATGTTTGACATATTAAAATACCACAATAAACTCATTTAAACACACTGAAAACCAGTGGTGGGTACAGCTAACCAAAAAGTTAGTTTTGCTAATTCATAATCCGCTAATTTGCTTTTCTAACGCTAAACTGCTAAATATGTAAAAAATAAATAAATAATTTTAAAAAGCAGGCACTAACACTAAACAGCTAACTGCTAAGACGACTGTCCTTCAGTCTGCGTCAAGCTGGAGATTTGAAGGACTGACAGAAACCTGTCTGTGTTAGCTTATTAGTTTACCGTTAGCGGACTTGCAAAACCTCCTTTAGCAGAAGCTAATTGGTCCACTAACTACTTTCAAAGTTAGTGAAAAAGCTAAACTGTTRAATGAAAAATTGGTTCCACTATTAGCTGTTAACTTGTTATTTATTTACTGTTATTTTACCAGGCAAATCCCATTGAGATCTCAGATCTCTTTTTCAAGGGCGGCCTGGGCCTGAAGGCAACCCTATTGTACATGTTTTTTTGTGTTGTGGGGGAAACCGGAGTACTCGGAGAAAACCCACCCAAGCACGAGGAGAACATGCAAACTCCGCACAGAAAGACCCCAGGTCCGAACCGGGGATTGAACCCAGGACCTTCTTGCTGTGAGGCGTCGGTGCTAACCACTGAGCCGTCGTGCCGCCAAAGTGGTACCAGTGGTTAGCAGAACCATGCCCACCACTGGTAAAAAATAAAATAAAAAAAAGGACACACAACATAAAAACCAAACCACCAGTCAAGGTTTGTGTTTCGTTCTATAGGTAGTTCCAAATTTTAATTTTTGTTTTGAAGCCGTTGGTATTTAGGTGTCAGGATAATTAAAATGCAACAATAATGGTTTTAAAATCAACAAAGAGCAACTTGATTGACTGATTGATTGATTGATGCCTTTATTGCCATTGCACGGAGCACAATGAAATTACATTTAAGAACTTATTTGTTTGACTTTAAAAAATTCTAAGCATTTAAATGAACAGCGATGATGTGGTTTAAAGCTTCAACAGCTTAGTTGATGGAAAATGTTTTCAAATCTAGCTGGAGTCCTCTCAATACAACACTAAACCCTCTGCGTCTCCTTACCTGACTGATCCACTTGGAGGAAGTAATCTAAAGAATGTGTTGCAGCAAGTTCTCAGGTGTTTCACCTTTTTTTATTAAACAGTTCAACAAGACTTGAAGCAAAAACTGTGGATTTCTTTTTATTAATACCAAATGAAGTTATTACTTATAGCTTTTTAAAAAACACAAAAAGCACAAAATACTTYTACTTAGGTAAAAGTCCATAGACTGAGTACAGAACCAATACTTTTGTTTGTTTTGCTTTGTTATTTAAAGTGTATTATATTTATCATTACTGCAGATGTTCCTGTTATCATTTTTTAAGTGTTTCTTTTGTTTTTGATATATTTTACAAATTCTCATAGTCTACTTACGTAGGCTTGTCTGGATCATCTTGTTTTCATGTTGGGAGTTTATAATGAGAGGTGTGGCTGTGTGCATAAATACAGATACTATTATTAATATTATGATACAGACACGTGCTTGCTTTATAATCAGCAGACTGACATCAGAAAGGGTAATCTGCATTAAGTTTTAAGGAATATGTGATGAATATATGGTGTTAAAAGAGAACTGCCACACTGAAAAAATGTATACATTTAAACACCAGGGGCCTCGTGTATTAATGGTGCCTACGCACAAAAAAAAAAGTAGAGGTATTTAAAGTACTTAAAAGAAAACTGCTCACAATAACTGGGAATCTAAAAGTACTTTTGAATTTGCTTAACCAAACTGGTTCCACTAAAACAAGTTGAGTAAATAGAGCAATACACAAATTTTCTTCTAAAGAAATGATGTAAATTATTTTACATTTACTCAGCTCTGTTTAGTGGAACCAGTTGACGTAACGTGGTTAAATAAATTCAGCACTTAAAACATTTTTTAGTGTGCATAAACAAGTCTTCATGATGAGTTCCGGTCATGTTTAAACTTATAGCAAAGAAGTGAAAATATTATTTTTGTTGTTTTAAATGTAATGAAAGAAAAGTAAAAGTTACAGTAAAAAAATTAAATACTTGGTCAAATTAACTACACACTGGGATGTATCAAAATGCAGGTTGTGTGTGGAAATATATGTACTCATTTTACCTTCTTTGAGAATGTGCAGACAGCCACACAAACTGTTTTAAACCACAAATTTTACCTAAATACCCCCAAAATATGACTTCTGTTCTGTTTTCTGGATGTAAAGAACGGCTGAACACGATGTTTTTTAGTTTAAAAAAACTTTTTCTTCGCAGTCTTTGATACACGAGGCCCCAGATGTTCTCCTGTTACAGACTGCCATGAAAAGTGAAGCTGTTTCTCTGATGACTGTGTTGAAGGAATAACTGCTCTGAAGTACATAAAGGATTTTTGAGGAAAAAAGAAACTGTGTTTTTGTTTTGGTCTGTTTTTTTTTTTCCTGCTGATGAAATAAAGTCAGGGTCAAACTTTAAGATACAGCGGGTAAAATAAGTATTGAACACGTCAACATTTTTCTCAGTAAATATGTTACTAGAGGTGCTAATGACGTGAAATTTTCACCAGATGTCGGTAACAACCCAAGTGATCCATACA